GCGCTCTGGCCCGCGGCTGGATGCTGGCCAGGCTTTGGGGGGAGGGTCCAAATGGGAGGTCGGGGAAGTGTGAGTTAGGATGAGCGTTCTTGAGGGACCCAGGCTTGAGGTGTGGTGGTAGGAGGGCCAAGGACTGATTGGATCTCGTAAGGAGTCAGAAGCTGAGCGGGTTTGAAGGGTAGGGCGAGCCCTGGGCTGAGACGTCTAGATTGCAGCCCGCGTGGTGGCAGGGACCCCGGATGCCCTGCTGCTCGGGAGTGAATTGCCCAGGGTTACGTTCCAGGCACTCGGGATAGGGGATCGTTTCTTATAATGATTAATGACCGAAGGCGGCGGGGCATCTCCAGCGCTGGGGGCAGAGTGGGAGCTGGCATGTGCTGATGGTGCTGCTGCTGAGAGGAGGGAGGTAGACCCGCGTGAACCAGTGAAGCTGGGGGTTAGAAAGGGGGGAGGGGAAAGGGCACCTCAATCTACAGGTAAGAAAACAGGCCCCAAGAGGTCAGGTGGCTTTCCAACGTTAGCAAAATGGACTTAATGGAGCCTGCAACCTCAGGAGCCACGGGGCTCCACGTAATTGGAGTCTGAAGTTACCTTCTGCCCTAGCAGACTGTGGGGCTTCACTCGGTGTCTGGGGTGGAATGGGCCTAGAGATCAAGGTTGGGATTTATGATCTTATTTAGGACTTGGAAGCCCGTTGGTTGGATTATCAACCCTTCGGCCTAGGGTCTGGCATTACTCCCCTCCCCCACCCCGGCCCCAGGCTCTTGCTGCTAAATGAATGGGGTTCTGGGGACTGCTCTGTGCCCACTCTTCTCTTACTATACTCGCAAAGTCTTGGTAAACAGACCATCTTGTCTTACTCATACTTAGGACCCCGGTGGCACCCAGCACATTACTTGGTACTTGATGGGGATACTGGAAATGGAAGCATACAGGTTCATGTGGATGATGAGAAGGGACGTCTGGGAGATTCAGTTCATTCCTGGGATTTTGCTTTTTAGCTCCGGGTACTAGATCAAGAAGGACCACTTAACCTTTTTTTCTTATTAGCCAGAGCTGATTGATCCTTGGAACTCACTGTTGCCTAATCCACCTGTCCTTAATAACACTGCAGTCTCCTCTTTCCTGTTGCTACCACCCTCAGCTCTTAGGTAACCTGTCGTCTTAGAAGACTCTGCATATTTTTGCTGTGAGTATAAACAGGGTAGTTCAAAGGCATTGGTTATTATTTTTTCTTAGTTCATATTGAAGTTAATAATTTCAGTAGTGGTGAAATGGATATCCCAGCCCAGTGCTGGGACAATGGCTTTATAGTCTAGCAAACTTTGTAACTTCCAAACCTCAGTGTTCTCACATGAAAAGTAGGTCCCCTACCTTATACTACCTTACTCATTTAGATAGAGCAGTGCCCATGTAGACCAAAACGAGGATCTTGGGAAGATAATGTTATATGTGTGTGTAGAGCACCTGTAGGTACCTAGATGATAACCTGGCACATAGTAGGTGTTCAATAGTTATTGACTCCCTCATCTTAGTAACGTATCTCCCCACCCTCCCAACTCAGATGTATTTCAGTATAAAGGATGATGTAGTCAGAAAGAGCTGAAGAAAATTATGAGCTGATATATAAGGGTGCAGATATGTGGGTGTTGGTCAGAGGCTTTGTGGAAGTAGAGCAAGCATGCTTGAAGTAGAGAGATGTAATTAGAGCTGGGACTTGAAGGAAGGGTAAGATTTACATGAGTTACCCTATACAGCTTTTCATAATTGGAACAATAGGTGGTTGTAGTTTTATGGAATAAAAAAAAAGTGTTCATAAATCAGAGGTTGCAAAGTGGCAGCCTACAGCAGCATTTAGCCTGCAGGTGCTCCCTAACTTTATTATGAAGTTTGAATACACAAAAGAAGACAGGATGGTATAATGAGCCCCCATACACCCATTATCCAGCCTTAATCACCATAAGCTGGGGGCCATTCCTTCCCCGTTTACTCTCCCTTTTCAGATTATTTTAAAGCAGCACCCAGACATTATATCATTTCATTTGCAAATATTTCAGTGTGTATCTCTAAAAGATAAATTATTTTTTGTAAACAAGCACAATATCCCCTTAAAATATTAACAATTTTTATTAGTAGTCAATGTTCACATTTCCCTTTGTCTCACAAATGTGATCATTGTAAGTCTTAATTTACAGCTTTCCTCCTAGCTTTGTTTGTTTGTTGCAGGTTAGTTTTGTTGTTGTTTTTTGCAGTTTTTTTGTGGGAGAAACTGAGTTGTTTGTCCTGGGAGTGTCCCTTTTTCTGGGAATTTTTTATTGTATCTCCATGGCATATTTAACATCTCCCCCTTTCCTCTCTATTTCCTGTGAATTGGGTGTTTAATCATACACTTAACAAATCTGAGTTCAGTTTGGTAGCCCACCTACATCACAGGTGGTGCTGTGCTGTGCATTAGGAGGCACATCAGGTCTACTTGTCTCTGATGATGCCAGTTCCAGAATTCATCATGGGTGGCAAAATGGTGGTGTTCTAATTATATCATTCTCTTTTTGTTTATTAACTGAAATGCTTCTATAAAGAGAAACTTCCCACCTGCTATTTGGTATGGTTTGTGTAGAAAAGGCAGAATAAATGCTTGCTTTGTTCCTTTTTTAATTAATTTTATTTATTGATTTTAGAAGGAGAGGAAAGGAGAAAGAGAAACAGAGACAGGGAAACATCGATTTGTTGTTCCACTTATTTATGCATTAATTGGTTGCTTCTTATATGTGCCCTGATCAGAGATCAAACCTGCAACCTAGGCATATCAGGACAGTGCTCTAACCAATGGAGCTATCAGCCACGGCTCTGATTTGTTTATTTGTCAACTTTCAAAATAATAAGTTGAGCCCTGGCCGGTGTGGCTCAGTTGGTTAGAACATCATCATTCTGTATGCCAGAAGGTGGCAGGTTCGATTCCTGGTCAGGGCACATACCCAGGTTGCAGGTTCAATCCCTGGTCTGGAGCGTGCAAGGAGGTGGCCAGTTGATGTTTCTCTCTCACATTGATGTCTGTCTGTGTGTGTGTCCTCTCTGAAATCAATTTAAAAATATATTTAAAATAAATAAATAAATAAATAAATAAATAAAATGAATTGACCACACAGAGTTTTCAGTTGTGAAATTTCAGTTAATATCCAGAGCTCTAGTTTCTCTTGAGAAGTCAGATCTGGGGGCTCTGGGCCTCCAATCCGGCCTGGCATGCAGTTGAATGGTGAGGCCGCTTTGGGTGGCTCATGTGCTCTGCAGAGTCCTCTGCCCTGCTTGCTTACATTTGCCCCACTTCATTCACTTGCATTGCCTGCCTGGCCTCTATTGGTAAATGTTTGCAGTTTTTGATGTAAAATCTTTAACCTAGGTTTGTGCCTAGTACCTACTCAGTAATGTTTGTTTTCTTCCCACTAGTACATCTTTTTATACCTGCATAACTCATTCAATGTTTTTTATGTTGGTGTGACTGAAATTAAATGTTTCCTATTAAAACTCTTTTTAAAAAATATGTTTTTAAAATTGATTTTAGAGAGAGAGAGGAAGGGGGAGGTGTATATAGAGAGAAACATCAATGATTGGCTGCCTCTTGTACACCCTCCACTGGGGATGGAGCCTGCAACCGCAACTGGGGCAAGTGCCCTTCCAGTTCATGGGTCGGTGCTCAACCATTGAGCAACACTGGCCAGGAACTGCCTACTTTTTCATCAACATAATGATGTTTAAAACATCTAGAATACGTGGGTTATTTTATTTAAATGACCTTACTTCCCTGTGTTCCTTTTGTGGTTGGATGTTCCTACGGTGTGGCCAACACATAGATGTGTTTTGTGTTTTCTTTGCCAGCCCCTCCTCACATTCTTTTCCATGTGTCCAATCTATACCAAATGAAGGCCAGGCACGCTTAAGCAATTAGTTATCATCTTGCAAGTCAGGCTGTCAGTTATGTCCGTGCAGTGATACTCATGTCCCCTTTTACAGTTAGAGAAACTGAAGTTCAAAGGGCTTGTCCTCCATGTGACATAGCAAATAGTTGGCAGATCTTGTACCTGCATGACTCAAGCTCTCTCTGCTGCTATCTGCTGCCCTGGGTTAGATTTTTCTCCTGCCCTATGCATGTTTTGTTGGATAAGTCTCGTGCTGAAGATGGAGAGAGCAGCCCTTGCCCTGGAGGAGGGGGTGTAATATACAAAATAGTCACCCTTTGCTCGATTATGTAAGACTCCCGGCCAAAGACTTTACATGTGTTCTATTATTTAAACCCACAACCCAAGAGGTAGGTCCTGTTATCCATGCCTTTTTACTGGTAAACTGAAGCCCAGAGGCTGTATCCTCCCCCAAGATGCTCATAAAGTAGCGAGGGCAGGATTTGAACTCTGATTCTTGAGCAGCAGAGTCACCACCTTACATTGTCACTATTAGTCAAGGTATCGGGCCAGAAGTGAACATTCATGCAAACAGTACATGCTAGTGCAAAGTCCCATGTGGGAAGGGGCAGGTGAGTGACTAGGTTAGTTCAGGATTAGATCAAGAACTAGAATTTGTTGACAGTCTTCTGTTCTTCCTCCTACCCACCCAGTGATTTTGGTAATAATATCCCCAATTTATAGACAAGGAAACAGCCTCAAAGAATCTCTGGCCTAAGGTTACATGGTAAGTTAAGAGGTAGAGCTGAAATTCAAACACAGGTTTCTATGCTTTTTAAAAACTTTTTTTATTGAAGTATTATCTAGAGAGACAGGTGCAAATGTCATAAGCAAGCAGCTTGATGAAATTTCACCGTGTGAATGAATGTACTTGTGTAGCTTACACCCATAGGCAAAAAACCAACATTGCCAGGTCTGTGATGTCCTCCTGTGCTCTCTTCCAGACACACACACTTTCCCAAGGACAGCCAGTAAGGCTCTGGGTTGTGATTTAACAAGGCCATGTAGCAGCGATTTTCGACTGGTATACCGCAGGAATTTTTAAAACATGCAATGCCCGACTAGTCAGGCACTGACCTCTTTTCCCCTAGATTGTCATATTTTAAAAATGACAGCCAACACAAGAGCCATCTGGTGTGAATGAATCAAATGTCAGTTGGGCAAAAAATATATCTTTTAGTATACTGCAGAATTTTAGTAATTTTATGTGTGCCACAAGATGAAAAAGGTTGAAAATCACTGCCATATAGCATCATGGTTACGAGCTAGGGCTCAACAGTCTTGAGGCCTGTTGCTAACTATTATTACTAGCTACGTGATCTTGGGCAACTTAGCCTCTGAATTTCATTTGTAAAATGCAGATAAAAATAATTCCTACCTCATGGATTTGTCATGTATTGTGGATACTAAATACCATAAACCAACACATGGAAAAATTGCTTGGCATGTTGTAAACACTCAAAGTTTGCTGATGTTAAGACTTCTTGGAGGAAGAAGGGATAATTGGGTGGGAGAGATAAGCTCAGAATTTGACTACAGGGAAGGATAGAGGTTAGACCAGTAGGGGGAAGGGAAAGGGTATTCCTGCATAGAGAGGAGCTTTGAGCTAATGTCCATGGAGAGACTTATTTTATGTCTGAGAATTATACAGAGAGCAGCTGTTTGCAGCGGTGCAGGGAATACAGAATGGGATTTGTGGGGATAAATTTGAAGAACTTGGGGGGTTTAGAAAGTTGATTGTGGAGGACGCTGAGTGCTAGGCTAAGATATATGGACTTCCCCATTGCACTGGGGAGACGTTGAAGCCTCCTGAATGTGTGTGTTGGGGGTAGAGGAATGGGGTGGCGTAACATTTCCAACAGTGTCTTAGGAGATGATTCTAGCTACATATGCAGGAACCTTAGAGATGGGAGCCGGAAAAACTGGAGTCAGAAAGATGTCACAAGTAAGTTTGAGATTAAATCAAATCTGAACAACTGTTAGCTTCCCTTTATTTCCCTAAATGCCAGGCACTGTGCTGGATGCTTTTGCATATATAATCTCATTAAATCCCCACAACAGCTCTGCAGATGGATATGGTTGTCTGTATCTAGGGATGAAGAAACTGAGGCTTTAAGAAGGCTGCATTACTTGTTCAAGGGGATACAGTGAGTAAACTGTAAATCTGGTGCCCACCCAAGATCTGTCCCACTATAAAGCCCAGTCTTGCCCCCACGCCCCCAGGGCTTCACAGACTGTGTGCATCAGCATCCCAACACACTCAGTCATAAACTTTAAGGGTGGGCCTGGCTTTGTATTTTTAGCAAGTGCCCCAGATGATTGTGAAGCTTGAGAGCACTAAAGCTACTGTTCTGCCTCCCTATTGGTTTTAGCCATTGTTACCCACGCCCCCCTCCCAAAGTCCATCCCCTTCCCCACAGGGTTCTCATAGAGGTGATGGGCCTATTTCTCAGACTCAGCAATGGTCCATGGGTTCAATTCCCGGTCAGGGCACATGCCCAGGTTGTAGACTCAGTCCCCAGAGGGGTGTGCAGGAAACAGCCAATCACTGCTTCTCTCTCATCATTGATGTTTCTATCTCTCTCCCTCTCCCTTTCTCTCTGAAATCAATAAAAATATATTTTTAAAAATACAGGTTCTCAGGCCCCACATTAAAAAATCAGAATCTGCATTTTAGAAGCACCCTCCCTCCATGGCCCCCCTTGTGATTTGGAGTAGCATGACTCTAAAGCAGCGGTTCTCAACCTGTGGGTCGCGACCCCTTTGGCGGTCGAACGACCCTTTCACAGGGGTCGCCTGAGACCATCCTGCATATCAGATATTTACATTACGATTCATAACAGTAGCAACATTACAGTTATGAAGTAGCAATGAAAATAATTTTATGGTTGGGTCACATGAGGAACTGTATTTAAAGGGCCAGAAGGTTGAGAACCACTGCTCTAAAGTGAAAGCTTGAAGTGTGAGGGGAATATGGTAAAGTTATTTCATCAAGCTTCTTCTGTAGTTTGCAAGTAAAGAGTAATACAAAGAAGAGCCCTGGCCAGTGTAGCTCAGTTGTTGTGCATCATCCTGTGCACTGAAAGGTTGCCAGTTCGATTCCCAGTGAGGGCACATGTCCGGTTATGGGCTCAATCCCTGGTAGGGGATGTGCAGGAGGCAGCTGATTGATATTCTGCTCTCATATCAATGTTTCTCTATCTCTCCTTCTCCCTTCTCCTCCCTCTAAAAAGCAATAAAAATATGTTTTTTTAAAAAGAGTAATGCAAAAAAAAAAAAGACATGAAAGGAGGTCTCTTGTTTACTGAATGCCAACTGTGTGTCTGATGTTTTGGGTACCTTATTTCATTTTATCCTCACAACAGCTCTAAGAAGTAGATGTTATCCATAATCCCATTTGACTGATGAGGAAACTGAGATTCTAAGAAGTTAAGTAACTAGCCCAAGGTCACACAGATATTGAGTGCTTTAGCCAGGATTCAGGTGCAAATCTGTCTGACTCCAAAGTCCGAGCTCTTTGCATCCCATCACCCTGACTCCCTTGCAGCAGCAGGGAATAAAGAGTTAGTCTGCAATGACATGTCTTCCCTGTTAGAGCATTCTTCCCTGTAGCTGTAGAATCCAGTCACCTGGAGCAGCCCAGAAGAGTCCTGTAGTTTGGGGGTGGGGGAGTGAAGGGGTGGATACAAATAACAGTTAGGTTTTGTGCTGCTAACAGCACTTTTCTGGTGTTTTCGTCAGCCTTTCCCCTTGAACAAGCCTGACCTTCACATTTTTCACCCAAGTTAATTTCAACAACCAAAGAGAAGATTGGCAGACAAGCACAGTTCTCTGGGTATGTGGCCACTGGGCCAGTCTGGAAGACCAGAAGGTAGCGGGTCCTGACCTTCATTCTTTTTCCAGAGCTTTTAACAACTCACTTCGGTTCTGTTTTGCTATGAAGTTATTTCTTTGCTTGAACTGAATCATTCCATGAATCACAAACCAGAATTTGCTGCATTGGGTCCCATCTATTAAGTTTTTATTATGTGCACCTACGAAAACTCCCAGTAACTGGTTTGAACAAGGATCCAAGCCTACTTTTTTAACAAAACAAGTGAGCCAGAAAGCTAATTATTAAGCTCCTTGAATTGATGCTATTCCTCATGAGTTCTGCAGTTTTTTTGTTTGTTTTGTTCACAACCAATGTTGAACCGTCCAGGGTCTCCTCTTGTTCTGGTCTTCAATCTGACGTGTAGTCCACCAAACTATGAGCTCACAGAGGACAGAATCTCTGTCTCCTATTCATCTGTTTCCCTGGCTCCCAGGAGGGTTCTTGGAAGAGACATCAATATGATGAATGGGTAAATTCATTTCTGTAAAAATGAATATGGGCTTAGGTCAGGGGTTACAGTCATGGCTAATGTTCACTGAGCACTTACTATGAGCCTGGCCTTGCATATGCTGAAATATGTATAATCTCATCAACCCAGTGGTGTGGGTACTATTACCATCTCCAGTTTACTTAGAGGAAATTTGAAGCATAGAAAGGTGATATAATTTCTCTCAAGTAACATATCTGTCTAGTCATTGGCAGGCCTGAAGTCTGAAACCCAGGTCATTTGACTCTCAAGCCCATGCTCTTAGCTAAAGGGCCTTACTGCCTCCTAAAACTAACAAGTGCTTACTGTTTTTCAATGCTCTTTGTATATATTTCATCTGATCCTCACAGCTACCTTCCTTGATGGAGCCTTTTTGCCTTCATTTTAAACAGATGAGGAAATTGAGCCTCTGGGAGGTTAAGTGATTTGGCCAAGATAATGCAGCTACCTACAGGATAGTGCCAGGGACGGGGAAGACTGTCTGCCTGGGGGGAACCTGTGTTCTTCACCTTGCCCCGGCTGCCTCTAGGGCCAGTGGCCACAGCACTTGACAATCACACATTCAATCCTTTGGCAAATATTCATTCAACACATTACATGCCAGGCATTGTGCTTTATATACATGAACCCAAACTTCACAGTAACCGTGTGAAGTATTGATACTACTTTTTTTATTCTTCCCATTTGTAATGGGGAAACTGAGGCTGATCTGTCACTAATGTATCTAGCAGAAGGAGTGAAAATAGCTAATATTTGTGACAGCTTCTTGTGTGCTAGGTGCACTGCTTTAAGTGCTTTACATGTATTATATCATGTCATTATATGTTAGACTATGCTACAGGTACTTTTATCTCTGTTACAGGTAAGGAAATTGGCATTTGCCAAAATTCACACAGCCAATAAGTTCCAGGGTCAGGTTCATACCCAGGAAGTCTGACTCTAGGGCCTGCAGTGGTAACTGGATTTTGGTTTTTGTTTTCCCCTCCACAGGCACCCAAATTGGCCAAAAACTTCTGTGTCTGCCATCTGGCAACTGGGGACATGCTGAGGGCCATGGTGGCTTCTGGCTCAGAGCTGGGGAAAAAGCTGAAGGCAACTATGGATGCCGGGAAGCTGGTAGGTGTGGTGGTACCAGTGAACGTTGATATTCCCCAGAGTCTAGATCTGCACTGCCTCCTGTGGTAGCCACCAGTCCCAGGGAGCTATTTAAATTCAATTTCACGTAAAAGCCAGTTCCCCAGTCTCACTTGCCACATGTCATGCATTTGCTCGCCAGCACAGATACAGGATGTTTCCATCGCTAGAAAGTTCTGTTGGACAGCCCTGTGCTCCAGGGCGTTTGAACAAACTGGCACATCATAGGAACTTTTAGAGCAGCAGGTTACTTGGTTTGTTCTGAATTTGTGGCACTTATTTTATTCACAGTATTCTGGAGGCTCCTCTGTGCTGATGCAATGTGTAATATACCCAATTTTTAGGGCCAAAAATGAAACTGTCATCACTAGGCCAGAACTCAAGGATGTGTTAAAGAAAGGAGTTAGGAGCCACAGGGTGGTTTTAATCTACTTTTGTAACTGTTCTGTGTTACTATCAGAGGAATTGCTTTTGACAGATGTAATCCTTCCTGTTTGAGAGATATAGTAGTATTTTCTCTTGTTTCTAGTCCAGTTAATCTGATTGGACAAATACAATCTGATATTTACTAAATCTTTGATTAGTGCCAGAGCTTAATTGTAACAGTTATTCTGGGACATGGCTTCTGCAAATCACCTTTAGAAGTCATATTTTGCTTGGTCCTCTGGCCTTTTTATATCTTATTTAACATGGAAGGGAAGGTGCTGGACTTTGCCTCCATTCCCAAATTAATACTTCCTGTCAGGCTTTGAGATTCAGTGCCGGTATGGAATGGTACCCCTGACCACCTGTCCATTTGCCCGTTTGCTTCCAGCTTTCCTTTCATGTCAGTGAGGCCCTGTCAAGCTAGAAAGCTAGCTATTCTGGACTTTGGGTCTTGGCAGAAGGTCCTGTACTGAGAAAAAGTTGGGATGTGGCAATGAGATTACTTATCTCCAACCTTCACTTCGTTGCAAAGCTTACACTTTGTCCCCAAGTTCACAGCTGGTCCTGGGAGATAAGAGCATTAGCTACCAAGATGGGCAGCCGTCACTGTAATACTAGCAGGGAACCTTTTCTCTGAAGGCCCAGGAGGAAAACCAGTCTTTGAAAGCTGGGAGGGGACCTCATTGGGGTTTTCACAAAGGCTCAAAGGTGTGTTGGGCTGGCTCCTCAGCTCCTTGGTGCCAACCCAATCTTGTCAATCATTGAACTTCTCTGTTGTGTCATGTCCAGGGTGGCCCGGGTCACTTTACTGTGAGCCTAATCAAGATTGGGAAACAGGAAAGTTGGAGCCTTTCTGCATTCCGGTCAACCCCCACCATCTCCTGCAGTCGTCAGGTTATATAGACACAAACTTGTGACCCTGCAATTGGGTTAATGTCACCTAGTTCAGTGGTTGCCAACCTTTCGGACCTCATGGACCACTAGTGGTCCACGGACCACCGGTTGGCGACCACTGACCTAGTTTATGGATTTAAACCCAAGGCTATTTTGTCCTTGACTTCCAGGTGAGTGATGAAATGGTCGTGGAACTCATTGAGAAGAATTTGGACACCCCTCCATGCAAAAATGGTTTTCTTCTAGACGGCTTCCCCCGGACTGTGAGGCAGGCAGAAATGGTGAGTGGGTTTGTTTTGTATCATCACTGCATGATAATGAACTCTGGCCCTTAATCTCTTAATTCCTTTGAGGGAAATGGGTCTGATCAAGCTCCGGTAGCTTAGGTGGGACACACACTCTTTTACAGCTTGACGACCTCATGGAGAAGAGGAAAGAGAAGCTTGATTCTGTGATTGAATTCCGCATCCCAGACTCCCTGCTGATCCGGAGAATTACAGGAAGGTATTTGTCCCTAGAAGGTCCCTTCTTTTCATGCTTCTTCAGAGATTAGTCAGACCATGGGAACTGCTCTTGCGTAATCCCAGTCATGAAGCTTAATGCCATTTCTACACGGATTGATTTTATTTGGTGATATCTGCTGAGGTGGTGATGGAATGGGATGTGGAAAGAAGAGTAAGGGATTTGAAGTTAGACAGCATCTCAGTCCTGTCACCCTTTTACTCTGATTCTAGGCAAGTGACTTAACCTCTCTGAGGCTGTTTCTTCATATTTAGAGTGGGGTTAATAATATCTGTTTGAGGAACTACTGTGCATGTTATCTATATATATAAAAGCCTAATATGCAAAGTGTCCTCTCGGGAGTTTGACCAACCGAGAGTTCGATCAATCGCTATGACGTCCACTGACCACCAGGGGGCAGTGTGGAACAAAGGGAGGCCGCAGCTGGCAGCCACTAAGCACCCTACCTGTGCATGAAATTCGTGCACTGGGCCTCTAGTGTAACATATAAAGTGAATGATTCAGAGCCTTGCTTATAGTAGGTGCTTAAGAAGTGCTAAATTCTTTCCATGTGTACCTCCGTTTTAATGCTTTTAAAAGTCTGATTTCAGTTAGAATTGCCATACCTTGCTGTAGGGTTTTTATTAATTATACAAGTAATATGACCATCTACACAAAGTTTAGAAAATGAAGGGAAATTTTGCTCATCATACAGCCACTATAGCCAAAACCACTGTTATTTTGTGTTTGTGCATGTTTTGTTTTAAAGTGCTTGTTTCTCTATCGTAGTCAACATTGAACACAAATGCACTGCATCCAAGCGAGTTGGTTCTGAAAGATCGCAGGCAGTTTCCTCTGTCCTGTTTTCCTAATCACTGCCATCTGCTTTGTGTCTCCCAGAAATATGTTGAAAGCTCTCAGCCACTAATAGATCCTCCCACCCCTTTTTTATTGTGGGCTTTAGCTTTTATATTCCGTGGCCATTTTAATGGAATCTCAGGAAGGTGGTCAGCATACGTCATGGAACCAGACATCCATGACCATTATTTTTATTTGCTGTATGATTTTTCACAGATGAACCATCATTTCCTTAATCGTTTCCTTATTGTTGTACATTTGTGTTTCTTCCAGTTGTTCACTTTTAAGTTGATGCTGTGATCATCATAATACATGTAAATTCTTGCATTTAATTAAGGGGAAACTGTTTTCTTATTGTAAATTTTATTACTCTGATTTCCTAATGAGGTTGAACATTGTTTCCATGTGTCTGCAGTCCAAATCTTCAAGGAGAGAGGCAGGCATGTAAACAGACAGCAGAGTGCATGATACAGGTGGTTTCCTGTAAGGTTATATTAGACACAGTGGGATCATCTTACGTTAATTTTCTTTTCAAGCGTCCAGGTTTCATGTTCCTAGCTCTTCCATGGGCTCCTTCAGTACAGGAACTTTTCTTTCTTTGAATCCCCACTGGCACAGGGTAGACAAAGTTGATGTAGTGGTAGGGTTGATAAGATGGGACATACCAGGCCTGGGGTCCCTCGTATGCAAAGCAAATGTTAATAGTAATAGGTGACATTGGGGACCTTTAATTCGTTCGGGCCAGCTTCTTGAGTGCCTGCTTTGTGCTCAGCACAGTACTAGACTCTGGGGCAGGGAGCAGGAGAGGGTATAGAACAGTGGTTCTCAACCTTCCTAATGCCGCGACCCTTTAATACAGTTCCTCATGTTGTGGTGACCCCCAATTTCATTGTTACAAGTTGAACATAATTAAAGCATAGTGATTAATCACAAAAACAATGTGTAATTATATATGTGTTTTCCGATGGTCTTAGGCGACCCCTGTGAAAGGGTCGTTTGACCCCCAAAGGGGTCTCGACCCACAGGTTGAGAACCGCTGGTATAGAGGAACAACAACATGCCCATCTTTGACCTCAGAGTTTACAAACCATACCTGAAACCTGAGCTGTTAGTGTAGTAGGAAGTCCAAGAAGAGAGTTTGGGAGGAAGGAGAGAAGGCTGCCTAGGAGAGGTGTATGTCAAACTTGACCTTCCTAGATAAAGAGAATTTTGTTGGCTTTCCCAAAGGGAGTAGATGCCAGAATGAGTATGGGTTGGGGGAGGGACTCTAGCTGGGGTTGGTGGCAAGGGTCTGTGCAGAGTTGGAGGAATGGCCTGGGGGGCTGGGCAGTAGAATGAGTGCTGTTGGGAAGGGAGGGTGGGAGCTAGACTGGGGAAGGTCTGCCAAGGACATGACAGAGTCAGGAGTCGTGGCCCGTTCTTAAGCCACTAGGTATTGTGGCAAAGACAACATTCTAAGAACATTAGCTTGGTCCTGGCATACAGGCTAAATGGGGAAAGAAGAAACAGACAAGGACTCCACCTAGCAGCCTGACTGGCCCACATGTGAAGTGGTGGAGGCTTTTAACTGGGCTTGGCTGGTTGGGGACAGAGATGCTGAAGAACAAACTACAGGGTTGTTGTAGAGGACGAAACAGAGAAGACTCAGTCTCTCAATTTGGAAGTGAGTGGTTTGGTGTGACTCCTCCCTTGCAGTGGAGGAAATGGGCAGCCAGACTGTTGTTTCCAAGTTCCCTCTGCACATCAGTGACAGAGCTGGCACCAGAGCCTGCTTTCTGCCTCCTGGAATTAAAAGTCAGGACCTAGTACAGTGATGGCGAACCTTTTGAGCTCGGCGTGTCAGCATTTTGAAAAACCCTAACTTAACTCTGGTGCCGTGTCACATATAGGAATTTTTTGATATTTGCAACCATAGTAAAACAAAGACTTATATTTTTGGTATTTATTTTATATATTTAAATGCCATTTAACAAAGAAAAATCAACCAAAAAAATGAGTTTGCGTGTCACCTCTGACACGCGTGTCATAGGTTTGCCATCACTGACCTAGTAGTTATTTCTTGAATAAGTATGGTTGGTAGTTTGGGGTTTTAACCTATTCAGTGTTGGCTCTCTAGTATCCTAATTATCCTACCAGCTGGTTCTCTGGTATAATTAGCCTAATGTTTCCTACCGTCCCATTCTGTGGATGAGAATACAGGTGTCTGAAGTGCCGCACTCAAGGTCCCAGTGACTGCAGATTCCCAGCCCCAACCCCTCCACATCTTCACCTCCCCCTCGAGGCCAGGCTCTGTGACTCATAGAGCTGTTTTAGTCGGAACTTAAGACCAATTCCGTTTTGAGAACTTGGAGATTGGGCTTTCTCTTTTTCCTTTTAAGGAATGAGCCTTGCATTCCTCTTTAAATGATGTTTGTGAGTGGGGAAGGAGCACTATTGTTGTAACTGGAAGGCTGAGGGAATGTGGGAGTGAGCAAGAGATGTAGAGAAGTGGACAGGAGAGAGTCGTGTTTATTGCCAGCTGGCTGCTCTGTGCCCTGTGCTCTGCAGGAAGTGAAGAAATAGGGTCCACATCTCACACCACCCCATTCCCAAAGGGAAAGCAAGATAAGCGGATCGGCCTGCACTCTCCCTCCCCTGGGTCTACCACAGCTGAAATACAGGAGGGCCCATTCTCACCTTACATGCTTGCAGTCACCGGCCCACTCAGTGTAGCTAATTTGCTCTGCCATCACCTCTCCCCAGTGCTATAAATGAACCATCTTACGCTATAAATGGACCACTTGACCCCCCAAAAAATGCGGTTATTGAAACACAACATCATATTTTACACAGTTGCAGCTCTGAAGTCTAACACGGACTTTTCCTACATGATGAGCTGAGATATTGATCCCTTCGGCCATCAGAGCAGCAGGCAGGCCTGGGGAGGCCATACGTCCCCCGGAGGAGCAAGCACCTCGAGTACTGTATTTCTGTGCGTGCCAAGAGCTGAAAAATGTTGGGACATACTGGTCTAATAGACCTTGAGGAGAGCCGCTATCAATTAAATAGGCAGCCATAACCGGTTTGGCTCAGTGGATAGAGCGTTGGCCTGCAGACTCAAGGGTCCCAGGTTCGATTCCGGTCAAGGGCATGTACCTTGGTTGCGGGCACATCCCCAGTAGGGAGTGTGCAGGAGGCAGCTCATCAATGTTTCTCTCTCATCGATGTTTCTGGCTCTCTATCCTTCTCCCTTCTTCTCTGTAAAAATCAATAAAATATATTTTTTTTAAAAAATTAAATAGGCAGACCTTGGTTGTCACGGACTTGGGAAACCACATGAGCTTGAGCAAGTGGACCCTGGCTGCTGAGCCGTGTTTGGCCTGCCTCCTTCCCTTCTTAGGTTTCTGGGCTCCTGTGGCGTGGCCTCACCCAGTCAGGAACACAGGCATGTTGCCTAAGGGGGCACAGCACAGATGCAGCTCCAGTGCCAAACAAGTGCTTCTTCTTGGGCTCCTAATTCCATGGTTTATTCCATGGCTTGTTTAGTGAGTCGTTTTTCCCAGCACCTTGAGTATTGCCCTTCAGTGGATGGGCTCTCTTTTATCTACGCGATCCCAAACGGTGCTGCTTCGTGTGGTGGTGTGTGCATCCATGCACATATTTTCCCAGTAGCACCTTTCTGGATTTATAACCAAACTAGGTTAGGAAATAAGGTTGGTTTCTCTGTCCTCTGTCCCCCGTAGCATTTTACACAAATTTCTGTTAAGGGATTGTCTGGCTTATTGTGGTTATTTATTTCCACATTTGCCTCCCGCACTGAATTAAGCACTGCTTGTGAGCAGGAAACTTGACTGGTTGCTCTGTAGCCCCTGGATTCAGCTTAAGGCCTGAATGGGACTAGGCACTTAGTAACAGTTGAATAAACGGGTGAATGGAATGAATGGCTGTGTGAGACCAGCACCAGAGTTCCTCTTTCAAGTTCTGAATTAGGTGGTTATACCAGCTCTTCAGCCAGACACTCATTTTAATGTTGGGTCAGAATAGAAAACACCCACTCAGGCATAAGCCCAGTATCTTCTTAAGCAAGAGTTGCCTCTAGCCGCATTCTCTGCTGGGTTAAGGTCCTGCACCCAGCTTCCCTGACTCTGCTCATCATCTTGAAGACCCCTGCGGTTCGGGATACTTTCAGGCCACCTGACTTGTGTTCCTTTGCTGTCTTTCAGGCTGATTCACCCCCTGAGTGGCCGTTCCTACCACGAGGAGTTCAACCCCCCAAAGGAGCCCATGAAAGATGACGTATGTAGACTCAGGACAGGAAATTTCCTTTTCTTTCCCTCCCCTTTCTTTCTTTGCTTTTTTTTTTTCTTTCTTTGTTTTTTCCATCTCCCCTCTGTGTCTACCAGTATTACTAACTTAACCATGAGAAATATTAGTCACGTAAACCACATGGGCTGTGGTTCATCTATGCAGCGTCTCTCCAGCTGGTTTATTTCTCGACCTGGAGGTGGCTACCAGTGCCAGCTGTTTCCCAGTGCCCAGTTTGTACCTGCCTTTTGTCCAAAACAGCACCTTTCAGACACCACGGTAACCTAAATGGCCAATTAATTGGAGGGGCTGCTTGGAAGCCCAGAATCAGAGCCAGGGTGGAGAGGATAGTACTGGACAGAAGTTTGTTGACCTTCAGAAGAATGTCCTCTCTCTAGTGATTCTCCTGTGCCCTGCAGATTCAGAATATTTTGGCTAGACTGTCACATTCTTATGACAGTCTTTAATTGCTTGCAGGTGTAAAAGGGAGGGCCTCATACATATTCACTGTGTCATTTGCCATAAGTAGTCCATTTTGTATGTTTTAGAGCATGCAAGCAGTAGTAAGAATTTCTTGTATTAACCTTTGTCTGTAAGACAAGTTCATTAGCTCATACAGATTTCAATGCCATCATGTGTTAATTTTGTCACATTTCACAGAGTAGTAGTTCTACCATTCAGAGTTCTTTTGCACTTCACTTATTACTTTCAGATTGTTGATGGCTGACACCCTAGTAAAAACAGAAAGTACTTAGACAAATAAGATTATAATTGCTAATGCATCCCTGATTTTGATATGGTCTAGATCAGGGGTCCTCAAACTACAGCCCGCGGGCCACATGCAAATACAAATATTGTATTTGTTCCCGTTTTGTTTTTTTACTTCAAAATAAGATATGTGCAGTGTGCATAGGAATTTGTTCGTAGTTTTTTTTTAAGCTATAGTCCGGCCCTCCAACGGTCTGCGGGACAGTGAACTGGCCCCCTGTTTAAAAAGTTTGAGGATCCTTGGTCTAGATTGTCTGTTTTTCCCTCCGATGGACTTTGGGATCAGACAGCACCCCAAGTCTGCATCTGGCTAACAGTCCCGGCCTTCCATTGTCCTCTTCCTGTTCTCAGATCACTGGGGAACCATTGATCCGAAGATCAGATGATAATGAGAAGGCCTTGAAAATCCGCCTGGAGGGCTACCACACGCAGACTACCCCGCTAGTGGAATACTACAGGAAACGGGGGATCCACGCTGCCATCGACGCCTCCCAGACCCCTGATGTCGTGTTTGCGAGCATTCTAGCAGCCTTCTCCAAAGCCACATGTAAAGACTTGGTTATGTTTATCTAATGTTGGGTCTATAAAGGAATTTCTTTCTTCTTCCTATCCATGTTGAGGGAGAGGGTGGGAATGGCAGACCAGGCAGAAGGAAGGTTCCTCAAGCCAGCTAGAATATCATTTGATGAATTGATTAAAAAAGCACTTGCTTGATGTATCTTTGGTGTATGTGCAACTCTCATCTCATCTGTATGTGTGTGTTGGTACAGGTATGTGTACACTCTCCTACTTTCTAAGTTATAGGTGAGGTGGCTTTCTCAGCTGTTTGCTTCTTTAGACATACTCTTAATTTGATTTCTTGACTAAAACAAATTAACTCAGATATCTGCCAGGTACCAATTCCCTGATATTTATTCCATCTCCAACAGCTGATTAGAAGTCCAACGTCAAGTGTAGTCAGGCAGGGCCCAAGTTCCTGGTGGCAGATTGTTTGCAGGGAATTCCACCTCTCTCCTAGCCCCGTGGTCGGCAAACTGCGGCTCGCGAGCCACATGCGGCTCTTTGGCTCCTTGAGTGTGGCTCTTCCTAAGCCTTAGGAGTACCCTAATTAAGTTAATAACAATGTACCTACCTATATAGTTTAAGTTTAAAAAATTTGGCTCTCAAAAGAAATTTCAATCGTTGTACTGTTGATATTTGGCTCTGTTGCCTAATGAGTTTGCCGACCACTGTCCTAGCCCATGGTGAAAAGCCTCATGAGTCCATGTATGGACAGGATTCATTGATTTCCCCCCCCCCCCCCAAATGGAAGTCAAAAGGTACTTAAATTACAGATTACAGAAATTAGTGGAAGAGGGTGTCACCAGAGAAAGAGCCAGGCCAAGCTGGGATATTTTTGTGGTCTGCATCATGGTTCTATAAAGTAGGGATCATTTGGGAACTGTGCTTGAAAACCAAATGTGGCCAAAGAATTAAACCAGATGACAGGTCCTTTTAAATTCAGACTATCTTCTAAACACCCAGGCTAGGCATCTGAGAGCAGCCAGTCTGCTTCCTCAAAGTGGCTTTTATTTTTATTTTTAATTTTGCCTCTGTTTCCAAGGATGAACAAAACACTGATTTGGAGGTAGTCTATTCTTGGATTCATTTTGATTAGAATTTATTCAAACCCACTCACTCTCCAGGATATGAAACTTAGATCAGATGTATACCTTTTAAACTCAAACCCTCTCCCTTCCAGATCCAATCCTTCGCCCCTTACTTCATGATGATGGTGGCCACAGACTCCCCAAGAAAAGATCACCCAAAAATAAAATCACCTATGACAGTAACCAACTTTATGCCTAACCTCAGCTCCCCAACTGTAAAGCATTTCCTGGGTTCCATGCTGTGCCTTTTGGTCTCTGGTGCGATTCGTGGCAAATGGACAAATTAACAGACTGCTGTGAGGGACCATGAAAGCAGCAGCCTCTGGGAAAACCATTAGAAAATCAGTGGCAGGTCCAGTAAATAATGCCTCCTGCCCTGGCATCATCTGCTGACTCAGTGCAGTGACTCTCAAGTGCCCAGTGCCCCCTACCTGAACTCTCCTGCTCTCTTGGGACTACCAGGGGGCTTGTCCTCTGCCTGGAAGCTGAGCTTGGGTACGTGGCTGTCTTGCTTCTCTCTCTGTCTGGTTCAAGTGAGTGTCTGCTGGCTCTGCTCTGCCTTGAGTCCCTGGCTGTAAACTAGCTCTGCCCAGTCTGGTGTGTGGTGTTTCTGGGAAGCACATGACTTCTGAGAATGGGCAAAGGAAAGGAGTGAAACCAAAACTGTCAGCTCTGTCTGCAGGGAGTGGGATCCTGGTCTGATTGAGGTGGCCTGGTGAATCTTGGAGTCTCCTCCACTCTGACTGGGGACAGTTGCAGGCACTTGGTCTCAAAGTTGAGGTCCTTGAATGTTTGCTAATTGAACGTGCATGATCCTTGCTTAAATATTTGTCATCCTTCCATATACATTTACCTGTGCGTACACGCACAACACGTGTGTGTGATATTTGGGCTGTGGGTATAAACTAGACGTGGGGAATGTGTATGCCTTTTGGGGGGTAGTTAGGATTCAATTTTTGCTTCATTTAATTTCAGAGCCTTAACCTCGGCAAGCATGAGAGCTTTCACCTGGCAAAGAAATGTCCGGTGTTTAATGCATTTGGTTGCTGGGACGTGCATGCCAGCCTTCTCTGATGTTTACTTAGTTTTTAAAAACCCATTTTGTTCTCTCTTGTTTTCCTCTCTATTTCAGCCTAGTAGCAGAAGGCCAGGCGAGACTGCACCACTGCTCATCACCCCGCGGCGTGATCCCTGTTTTTAGGTGCTGGGCAGAGGGGAGGGGTGGTCAGGGTAAGGATGGAGAATCAAGAGTGGTGAAGGGCTCACGAAAAACATTGGAAGGGCAGCAGTGTTGTAGTGAGGTGATTTCTTTCGCATATAGTAGGAGTCTTAAAGAGTATGAGTAATTAATTTTTTAAAGACTGATTGAAGGATATAAGTAGAAACAAGGAGGTGCAGTACTATTTCTAAGGAATCAATTTTTAATTTACTCTGGACTGGTAACAATATTTTTTAAAGCCAGTGCCCTGAGACCTCAACTTTTATCTCAGAACCTCATGGGTTGTCAGCCCAGGAATGCAGGAAATCAAACTGTTGTCCTCTCTGTCCTATAACCAGGGACAGGGAGGGTTTGACTACTGACGCTGGTTCCCCACACCCTGTGATCAAAAAATCATCTCCACATTTGAAAGAGATACAGGGTGTGCTCATGGGGGCAGTGGCTCAGCAAAACAAGTTTACAGGAGTCATGTGGTGCGGGGGCAGGCCGGTCTCACTCCCTTGCCGACTTATCACTGATTTACCAGTCCACCTGCTCTCATGGGTGAGTGCTCAGCAACCGCCCGATGTGTGCCACAACTCTACGCTCTTGCCTTCTTACATCCATGGTGTGTGAAGGGCCCTTCAAATAAATGAGCAAGTGTCCTAAGCAACATCATCCAAAGATTGTCCTTCCGGTCCTCACATCCTGTGACTGAGATCACTCGACAGCACTGTGATGTATTTTCAATGAGGTGCCTTTCTTAAAGACCAAATACTGCCTTTTTTGGCCCCTAAATCAATAAAGTATGTAAAAGTTTGCATCCACTGTTTCGCCTTTTTTTTCTTTTTTAGGGGATCTGGGCTAATAAAATGACATTGAATTCTGGATCTGGCTTGGAAGCCCTTGTGCTCACTAGGAGCTGTGAGGTAGGAAGATCCAAGTATGTGCTCATAGGATGAGCCTGCACCCTCTGACCTTTAGCTCATATGCAGGCTTTTCTTGAGCCCAAGGGCAGCTTGTGCTTGGAGCTCAGGAGATGTACAGCAAATCCCAGCCAATCATATACTCTGCTCCTGTTTGCTTGTCTGAAAAGAGACTGGTGATGATGTCTTCTCAGACTCGTTGGCATTAAATGAAGTTTATAAGGAGAAACTTTTTGACTTTCATGCAACAGACAGAATACATGTTATTTGGATGCAAATATACACAGAAAAATATGTTTCCTGCTAGGCTGGATAATTGTTGAGCGGACAGTTGTCCGCAGCCCAGAAAGCCAGCCGTTCTAATCCCTAAGCCAGATTTCTGGCTGTCTTTTCAGGTGCCTCTTTAACACCCTTGGTTGCTTCTTTATAAATCCACTTCTTCCCCACCACAAACGAGCTTAGATTGTTTGACTAAACTGAAACTCTCATGCTTTGGAAGGGCTGCCAGTGCCAGTGCGGTTCCTGAAACCAGGGGGAGCAGGGCCGCCATTCTCTCAGGCTCCTGTGGGGGGAGAAGCAGAGTTGTCACTGGCGTGTTAAATCCTCCCCAGCCAACTCTCTCCTGCTTCACCACTTCCCCACCTCTGCAGAGTCATGTTCAGGTGACAGCGGGACTTATTTGTTGTGGCCTCTTCATTCCCTGGGCTATTTAATGCCCCATGAAAATTTTCTTCTCTATCTTGATCATCATGTAAACAGGGGAAATATTTGTCAAACCAGTCTGCACGGTGTGGTGAAGAAATAAAGTGAAAGAAGCCCAGTGAGCTGTTACTCGTTCACTTCTCTGGGCTTGGTTTCTTCATCTGGAAACAGATGGCTTCACATCGCCGGCCTCACGGCCCTCTGCGAGAGTCCACGGCCAGCGTGGCTTTCGCGGGTTCAAAGACTTGGAGGGAGGGCTGACGCACAAATGATACACAAGATGGAATATTAATTTTTTAATTACTGGGGGAACCAGAGGACAGCCTAACCATAGCGGTCACGCTCTCTCCGCTCTCTCTCCGTTGCTCCATTCCCAGCTGCTTTTATTAGCTAGAATACACAATTGCCTTTAGGAATGCAAACAGTCATATCAATGGTAATGTTTAGCAAACAGTAAGATGGGGGAGTTTGCTTTAGGTCATTGAGTCAGCAGCAGGTAATAAAATGTAGATATTCACCCTGTGAATATCAAAAGGAGTCCTGGTCAGCCTTCTGCCAGACTCCTCACATTTATATCAATTACTGTTGATCTTGGTCGCCAGCAACCCTCATGAAGCATCCTAAGCAGTCGCAACTGTCATCCTCTCTCACAGATGAGGAAACCAAGGCTCAGAGTGGTGCAGTAAAACTCATGAGGTCACACACAAGAGGCAGGACTCAAACTGTCACCTTGATTTTGTTGCTGACGTGGTTTAGCAGCTTACACAGCTCCAGCAGGAAACGCCCTGCAGATGAGTTCTGTTTCATGCACACACACTCGGAACTGATTGTGCAGAAGTCACTGCCCGTCTGATGACCCCGCATGTGCATCAGGATCTCTCACATGCGCAGTGTTGCAGGATGAAGAGCAGTTTGGGGCCTCAGGAAGCCTCACTGGTCCTTTCTCAGGAAGGCTGGCTAAATGAGTCAGAAGACAGATTACAGCAGCATCTCCTCCACCATGAGACCTTGGGCCAGTCATCTCACCTCATGAGCAGAATGGGAATGGGCCCTTCCCCGCAAGTGTGCTGACAACACTGGTGACCAATCTACAGGCCTGGGCCAGGATTCCCAGTATACAACTGGTGCTGCATATATGCTGATGGAGTTCACAGAGAAAATGTAGGCATTGGCAAGACCTATTGTCTCACTGACTTAGGAACTGGGCAAAGGATTCTTAACCTGAGGATCCCCTAGAAGTCCATGGACCTCTGAAATTATGTGCAGAATTCTGTATTTTTGTATTTTCATGATTAGTCATTTAACATATACTAGTATTTAATGCTTACTGTGTAGTAGGTTCTGCATATGTTATTTATGTCCAATAACCATCTGAAGCAAGTACTATTATTGTCTCTGTGTTATGTGTATGCATTTTGAGGTTCAGACAGTCCAGGAATGGCAGAACCATAGTGAGCCTGCCTGTGGCTCCACTCCAGCCTCATCACCGCCAATTGCTTTGACACTTTGCTGAGAAAGGAGAAAGATTCTCAAAGCACTTGTGATGCAGACAAGTCTTTGAGCCATGGGTCTGAATGAAAGAAGAAATTCAACTAGGTTTGCTCTGTCACAATGCAGAACCTGAGTGGGGAATGCTACTTCAGGTAAGGCCTTTTTCTATTTCACTGTTCTCTCTGACTCTTGCTGTGGTTGTTAAAGCTCCAATGGATTGGATATACAAAGCTCTTGGAACCACCCTATCCCAGAAGGTCCAGAGGGGTGAATTACTGTGGGAGAGAGGAGTCAATTACCCCCCTACCCTCCCATCCCTTGCCTGGTTCTGGAGAGGGTGACAATAGGAGTGTGTGTGTGCTGGCTCTGTCACCGTATGCCCCGTGGCATTGCATTATTTATAACTGCAGAGGGGATGCCGGCAGCTCTGTGTTTAGAGTCATCAGGGCAATTGTTGGTGAGCTCCTCCCACAAAAGGCCCCTTCCAGGTGCCCAGTCTGGAAGTGGTGCCCCCAGCAGAGAATAGACAAATACAAAGGCTAGGTATCAGAGGGTGAGGGCAAGACAAGACTTAGGCCCAGGTCCTAAGTCACCCTCAGGTCACACAGATCTCTTGGGTAAGATTGCTATAGAGCAAGTCATTACATTGTATGGTGTCCCTCAGATAACGACTTGGGGAACAAATCTCTGAGCTTCACCCTAGGAGGTAATGCTGCTTCCTATTTGGCTGGTCTGCATTCTCCTACTAGATGAGAAATGCTTCGTTCTCTACTGTCTTCCTTTTTGCCCTGGCTCTGAGGAAATTCCACTTGTGTTCGGTGGCTATGCTTTCCTCTGCCAGGGTTTCTTAATAGAATTCTTACCCCACCTCACCCAATTGCATTTGTTTTATGTTTGGTGCTTTTGTGCTTTGACATGTGTTGGAAATTGCCTTGAGTCTATTTTGGAAAACACAGTGTAAAGAAAGTTCTAATTATGTAGTGCAGGAGGTCAGACTGCAGAGAAGAGGGAGCTTTGTGAAGGAGGTGGGGTCAGGGTGGCTCCATGTGGAGGATGGGGCAATACAGGCAGAAGGTACGGCCCCGAGGGAAGGCACAGAGGCCACTGGCACTCAGGACTGCTTTAACCTAGTGAACCCCAGAGTTCTTAGGAAATCGCTGACTGTTGGGAAATAGTATTGTTCAAAACAAGCATAAGGACAAGAGAAGTTTTTCAGCTCAGGAGTAATGTCGAGAACCCAGAAGAGCAGGACACAAGGGTATGTGCACATAGAGTTAATGGCCCACCTTAAGCCCCGCCTGGGCCATCCTTCCCTCCTCCCAAACGCAACGCAGGGGTGCTTTGACCATGAACGGGAGGTGGGGGGGGGGGTCCTTTGCTGTGAGACTGGAGAGGAATCCCTCCGTGTTGTCAGCTGTATTCAGTCATGTGCCTAGTGATTAGGCATGAGTTCTGGTGATAGATGACCTGGGGTTAGCTCTTGGCGCTAGTGCTCCCCCTGTGCCTTGGGGAGACGCTTAACCTCTAAGCCTCAGTGAACTCATCTGTAAAATAAGGATCATAGCACCCACCTGTGGGTGGCTGAGTAAATATGAATTAAAAAACAACTGCCCAATAATTCTTTTTTTCTCCTTTCCCATGGCCATTTGTGGAGGGAAAAAGGACCTTACTGTGGCTACCAGGTATTGCAGAATATGTATCTTCACCCATTCCTATTCCCCAATGCCATCTCCACCCCCCTAGGAATAGTGCACTAAACCATTTTGCTTTGCTTTTTGCTGGGGTGCTTGCTGAAACCCCACATGGGGCTGGCGCTACCTGCACTTGTGCCATAGACCCCTCCAGTGGCTGCATACAGGAGCCGCCCCCACTTGAAGCCAAATGGGAGGTGGTGCATAAATGGGATAGATCTGTGTGCTTCAGTTGCCTGGGACACCAGGGAGGTGCCGGGTGGGCTGACAGTCTTTGGTGAAAATTTGATGGTTCATCTTTGAAAATTGCCCCATGGCAACGGAATGAGAGCAGTACCTCTCCATAGTGTGGTTGTCACGATAAAAACTTCACATATATCAAGGGCATTAGAACAGTGACGGCCCATGGTGCGCAGTATGTGGTCCCTAGTCAGCAGCTCAGGCTCAGCAATTCCACTTGTTAATGTATCCTAAGGAAATGACTAAGTATATGCAGCATTTCTTATTACAGGGCAAGAACTGGAAACAACCTAAATTTCCCACAATGGGAGAGATGGGCTATGATTCATTCACAGGATGGAATGAAATAAATCATTTCAAGACAGAAGAATTTCACAATTAACTATTGAGTGCATAAACAGGTTTTAAAATAGAGAATGGGTCCATTTTTTAAAGTAAACTTTTTATTTTGGAATAATTTTAAGTTTGCAAAAAGTACTAAAGATAATACAGAGAGTTTCTGTATACACGTCCCCTAGCCTGAGGATGATGCTGAGGGCGCAGAGCTAGGAGACGAGCAGAGACATGGAGTCCTGATCAAACGATGCCTACCTGCCAGGCTCCACCAGGCTTTTCAGGTGCATGAGCCAACAAATGTCCTTTATGGTTAAGCCAGTTTTCTGTTATTTGCAACCAAAATCATCCTGATTCAGACTATCTAGTGCAGGGGTGGGCAAACTTTTTGACTCGAGGGCCACAATGGGTTCTTAAACTGGACCGGAGGGCCGGAACAAAAGCATGGATGGAGTGTTTGTGTGAACTAATATAAATTCAAAGAACATTACATAAAAGGGTACGGTCTTTTTTTTTTTTTTAGTTTTATTCATTTCAAATGGGCCGGATCCGGCCCGCGGGCCGTAGTTTGCCCACGGCTGATCTAGTGAAACGATTTTGTTTACCAAGAGATGATTTATTCATTTAAATATTGATTAGGCCCCTGCTACATACCAAGCACTATGCTAGGTGTCAGGGATTTATCAATGAACAGTATTGATGTGGGCCTATCCTCCTCCAGTTAATAGTCTGGTGGAAAGAATCAGGGATTAAAATACCTGCTTTGGGCCCGGCCAATGTGGCTCAGTGGTTGAGTGCTGACCTATGAAGCCCAGGTTGCGGGCTCGATCCCCAGTGGGGGGCGTGCAGGAGGCAGCCAATCAATGATTCTCTCTCATCAATCTCTCCCTTCCTCTCTGAAATCAATAAATTAAATAAATACCTGCTTTGGGACTGGCTCTGATGTATTTAATCTGCTCAGCATCCATGCCCCTCTTTTGGATATCAGAACCCTGACTTTCCTTTGGACACCATCGGAAGGGCTGGCCAATCGATGTAGGCCTGGCCAATGAGCATATTCCATGCCCCTAGTGACTCATTCAGTGATGGGCAGGAGTCAGCCCTGAGACCACAAACTTCAGAAATAGGTGCTGCAGGGTAAGGTCTAGACTCCACCCTGCCACACATCACCCTGTCCAGCTTCGTCTCCCCCTCGTGGTTTACACTGTGGCATAGAGGCCCCTGAAGTCAGCACCACCCTGTTTCTCTTCCCTGTGTCTGTCCTCTTCGTGCCCACCTGGTAACCTCCAGTTCATCCCCTGGAAGCCTGACTGGGCCCACATCCTACCTTTTTATTTGTAACCACATGGGCTCAGCCTACTTCCCCAAATGCCTGGGGCTCCTTTAAAGACAAAGAGTAGGTCTCAGTTTCCTCCCCTCCTCCCCCACCCCCAGTGCCTAGCAGAGGGCCTGACCCAGAGCTGTACCTCTGGATGGATGGATGGATGGATGGTGGATGGATGGATGGTGGATGGATGGATGGTGGATGGATGGATGGTGGATGGATGGATGGTGGATGGATGGATGATGGATGGATGGATGGATGGATGGTGGATGGATGGATGGATGGATGGATGGATGGTGGATGGATGGATGGATGGTGGATGGAAGTCCTTCACTTCTTCAGCAAACATCAGGCTTTTCTGCCTCTCGCATACTAGGGCTGAGCAAGACACAGTGAATACAGGACGTACAGGGTACAGTCCCGAGAGACTCCCATGCTGACAGATAATCGCCGTGCTGGGTGATGCGATGAGATTGCAGGTGAGAGCAGCTACTTTGGGGAAAGCTTGCAGGAGTCACCATCCAAACTGGGCCTTGAAAGTAGAGCAGGGAATTGCCAGGTGGTAAAAGAAGACTCTAGCTCAAGGTCACCAACCAGTGGTCCTTGAGGTCCGAAAGTTTGGCGACCGCTGCTCTAGCTTGTACAGGCAGGGAGGCATGAAAAGCACAGCTAGTCCAGGAACAGCCAGTACTTGCTATGGCTGGAGCAGGGGAGGAGTGGGAGGGGCTGAGCAATGAGGCTGGGCAGCAGGCAAGGCCAAGGGGGGCAGACTTTACCCTCATGCCAAGGTGGTGGACACGCGTCTTGAGGCCAGCGATTGAAGCCTTGCAAACAGGGAAGAAATCATGTGGATAGTTTGCATTTTCATGTTGAGGAGAGGCCAGGGCAGAGCCTACTCTATTAGTCCTTGGATTTGGGCTATTTAATAGTAATAACAATAGTTAACACTTATTCGGTGATCACTCTTGTACATATTAACTGATATAATTTTCCCAGGACCCTATTTTAAATATTGGAAAACGGAGACATAAAGAAGTACCTTGCTCTACTTAGTAAGCGGTGGGCCTGGCTGGCCCATTTCAGGGCCTGTGCTTTTCGTTGCTGTGCTGTATGTGCTCTCGTCACCATCATGGTAATAATAATGATGTTATGCTAATGAACGTGTGGGCGCATATTCCATGCCGGGCTCTGCTCTGTGCACTTCAGACTGTTATCAGGTTGAATCGGGTTCTAATCCAGGTTGGCAAGGACGCTGTCCAGCTGGAAGGCCAGCCCAGAGCCCACAGTCCAGTGAAGATGCCACTCCAGGCCTTGCTGTGTCTGAGCCACCTCCCCAAGGTGCTCACAGTGACCTTTGGCAGTGGCAGCTGGAGCCTCGTGCTACAGTTGGCTGAGAGCCCAGCCAGAAGGACTGAGCCCATGTGGAGTGAGCAGCTGCAGGGCCTGTGCCCCCAGGGCCTCCAGCTACCCTGGCTTAATGCAGCGGCCCTGTGCAAGGCTACTACATCCCAGAGCTGGGGACCAAGCATCGACCCCTGGGGTTTGGGCCCAGCTTGGTCACTGA